TTGCCAAGAGCAGTATCACGGATCACAACGGAGGATATTGGGCCTAACCAACAATTCCTTTCTGTGCAGCTAGCTATAAAAAGCACAGGAGCTTATATCTGCCTTTGATAAGCAAAGGTTAATGGGACAATACTTTACTACAGTTTCTGTGCCTCTTAAACATACATACATTTAACAGGTGACTCATGTGTAGGATGAAGTCTATAAGTGCATTTCTGTGGATCTACAATTGAGCATACAGATGCCAGATTTATCTCTCCTAGCTTTTGTCTAGCTGAGAGCATACTAGTATATTTTGGATATCTGATAATAGTTACTGGAAAAGGTGATCACTTGTATACATTTGAGCATGTATACATTTGTGTGGGAAACTAGGCTAATACGCCAGAATCTAAGAGAAGGAATGTGCACTCCCATTGATTCCCAATAAAATAAATGTCAGCCTAAGCAGAAATCCCCATTCATGTGAGCTGGACTCACAGTGGATCAAACTGGGCAAATTTGCACGTATTGTATACAGTCATTCGATTGTATACGTTTTAGGATGCAAGGCCCAAATGACTTTGCTCTGCATTGCAAATGTGCAGATGCAGGTTACGGTGTGGAAGCATGAGACTTCCAAAATAGGTTTGTGGGGAAGCTGTGAGGCTGATAAAGAATCCATGTAGCAATGAGATAGTGGGATCTGTTACAATAAGGAAGATAGATGGGTGCCTTCAGTAAATTGGAATTTTTTTAGACAAAGAAAAAGGGTCTTTTGGGTGCAAAAGACCCTTTTGGGCCCTGAAAACAGAAGCTGATATTTGAGATACTGGAGAAAAAATGCTAGCAAAGCTAAGATGGTGCGGTCCTTTGGCACACTTCTAGATCTAGTGAGGGCAACTGTTGTGGGTCCAATATTCTGGTCCTGTGAATCTCTGGGAGACCTGTGGATTGTCACAAATGCAAGAAAATACTGGAAGTATTCTGAAGTTCACTACTGTTGTTTTGTGTTATATATATATATATTTAAATATTAACCGGAATGGATGGTTACTACAACTTATTTGAAAGTGAAATGCTGCTCCTGGAGGCTCCCCCTTCCCCAATTTGCACCCACAAGGATTCCCCAAAGAGTGGGGATTCCCCAAAGAGCTGTTGTTAGACCTTGCTACGTATAATCATTGAGCCAATGGAATTTAAGTATGTGACAGCTTGAGATTCAGCAGTTGACTGAATGAGGTAATACTAACAGGGCCTAACAAACCCAATGTCCACCAGTGTTTTGCAATTTATTCTAAAATGACAAGTCAACCACTGTATAAAAGCAGTCTGTGTCATGTGCAAAACCTTCTAAAATCCTCCTGTGAAACAAGCTAAGGATAGTACTAGAGTCTGATTGCCCGCAATGCCATATTAACTCATATCCATGCTTGGACTTTTTTCAGTGATCCAAGTACTGTAGAGCAGTGCGGAATATGTGTCCCTTAGTCGCTTTTGGACTATAATTCACGCTTTGGCACCAATTTTCCTTTTTGGTAGAATAAGATTCATTCTTCATTCTGTTCACAAATCTAATAAATCAGTAATCTGCTTTCTAAAATAAGATGAGGGATTTGTGGAAGATGGTTTCTCCGTAGATTTGCAGGCAAAGCAACTGTAAATATATGTCTGATTTCAGGCATTCTAGGATGTCATAGTCCATATGGCATGCAAGTCATATGCAGACTAGAGAAATCCACAACAAACATTACATTAAAAATATTAAGTTTCTCAAAAGGAAATAAAATCAGGAAGAACAGGCAGGTTACCACACTCACTGATGAAATCTCATTTGGCCTGGTAGGATCTAGATCAGGCATGGGCAAACTTTGGCCCTCCAGGTGGTTTGGACTTCAATTCCCACAATTCCTAACAGCTGGTAGGAATTGTGGAAGTTGAAGTCCAAAACACCTGGAGGGCCAAAGTTTGCCCATGCCTGATCTAAATCCTAGGGTTTTCTAATAAACAGCTGCAAGTTTCAATGCTGAGGAAGCATTTAAATGTGAGGTGGGAGATGTACAAAGTCTATATGTGCCTTGGGGCTAGGCCATGGTTCAGTGGTTATCATGCAAACCTTTATGTATAAGAGAATGTATTTGCACTTTAATTTCCTCATCACCTAAAGCAGGGGTGGACATTGTACCACCCTCTCTAGATGTTGAACTGCAACCCCCAACAGCCCAGTCACCTTTGCTAATGGTGCAGAGTGCTGGGAATTGCAGCCCATCAACATCTGTTAAGCCACTGCTCAAGAGCAATACACACAATCCTATTATCATTACTGAGGGCCTTGGCTGCCCTGTGCAAACCGATAGAGAATTAGGGGTCTTCCAGAATATCTCTACTATGACATTTAATTATTGAGGTGAGACTGGGCTCATCTGTTCATTCCATTGTTGAAAGGTAGAAACAAGGGACAAACTCCTCTCCTACAAAACATGGGGAGTTCTTGTGACCCCAGCAGGTGGATTCCATTGAGAAGCTGAGTGGCTTCTGCATGCCGTCTTTGTCCAGGCCATGGCCATCACCTCATTCTGCATTTTCACATGCCTAATGAATGTAAGGGCGGTTTGGACTACGCTAGCATCACCGGGCAGGGGGTGGGCAAGGGGGGAGGGAGAAGAGGGAGTGGGCTCTGGTGTGGGGAGGGATGGAGCGCCCCACCAGCACTGACACAACATTGAAAGCACTTTATCTTAAGAGATTAGATCTCACTCCTACCAGTCCCAGGACCGGGCTTTGCACTACACTGCCGTAAGTAAGCGCCGGAGAAAGGTTCAGAGGAGGGCAGGAAGAATTGAACAATACTCTTCTTTCTAGACGAAGCTTCGGCAAGGATCTTTCCCTGCTCTGACCCAATTGCGTCCTTTGCACAGAGAAAGGGGTGTGCTAAGGAGACCAGAATGCAGACTGGTGAGGTTTAGGTCAAAACTTTCTCTCTCTTTCAAGCAAGCAACCTAACCAACACTTCTCTCGCACCCCTTTCTGCACACCCACCAAAGGGAGGAGAGTGCTTCCAAGCCAGGATCATACAATGCACAGCAGGGAGGAGATGCCATTCAGAGCCGTCACATCCTCGCTGGCTTGCCTTTTACTCAGAGAACCTTTTATTTCTGCATTTCCTTTCCAGGGGAGGGGTTGGAAGCAAGGGAGGTGGGTATCCGATTAAACGTGCAAAGAGTGAGAATTCACGTATGGGGGCATAATATAATATGCTTGTATGGTTTCTGTGGAAGACAGACTTGAGAAGTGTCTCTACGTCCATGTATATGAAAAAAAATTTACAAGCCGCATGTTGAAACAGGTGTTTCATTATTAAACATTAATGTACCAGGGCCTCCTCCCCTTTGATGTTCACCTTGTTTACTATGGAACTAAGTGCGTCGCTGGGGGTATTTTTGGAATGGGGAGGGGGTTGTATTTTCTTTTGCATGACCTTTAAAGAGAAAAAAATCTATCTATATATATATATCTATGAGAACTAAAAGCAAAGCTGAGCTGTTAGTCTGTCCCATGAATGCTGGTGGATCTTTTCCTCTTTCTGACTTAACTCTCCCTTTCTTTTTCTTGCCATTTCACTGTCTTTTTTTTCTGAGCCTTGTAAGTGTAAGAATGATTCTGACTTTGTTTTTGTCTCGGAAAACTGCAAATAAAAAAACACAAAAATGGGGCAAGAGTTTGGCTGGAGCTTCCTTTTGGCTGTATTCCTGAGCTTTTAGAGTTTGAACATCTCACCAGGAGCATTTTTAAAACTGCCTTGAGGGAAAGCGAGGTACTTACTTTGTATTCTGTGCAGAACCCAAGAGAGGCCGTTTACATTTCAAAGGGACACATTAAGTCAAAGAGGAGACTTAAATGGATTCTGTATGCCAAGGATTTAGGCAGGGGCCCTCAAACATTTAAAGCCTGATCCCTCAGACTGTTAGGGGTCCGGATTCGAGTTTGAAAAAAAACCACAAACTAATTCCAATGCACACTGCACATATCTTATTTGTAGTACAATAACATTTAAGAACAATACAATATTTAAAACAAAGAATAATTTAAACCAACACAACTTACCAATATTTCAGTGGGAAGTGTGGGCCTGCTTTTGGCTGAAGAGATAGTCAGGTTGATTAGGATTGTTGTTGTTGTGTACCTTCAAATTGTTTCAGACTTAGGATGACCGTAAGGCAACCCTATCACAGAGTTTTTTGGTCAAGATTTATTCAAAGGGGATTTCCCTTTGTCTTCATCTGAGGCTGAGAGAGTGTGACTTGGCTAAAGTCACTTAGTGGGTTCAAAGCAACACTTCGCCACACTTTCTGAATGCTGAATTCCTTCCCTCTCTGTTTCCTACCTTTCTCTCTTTCTTACCTTTTCTTCCTTCCCACTCTTTATCTTTCTCATTTTTCTTTCTTTCCTTCCTTCCCACCTTTTCCCTTTTTTCCTCCCCCCACCTCCTTCCCTTACATTTCCTTCCCTTCTTCCCCTTTTCCTTTCCTTTCTTCCTCCCTTCTATCCTTCCTTCCCTTTTTTCTCCTTCCATTTCCTCGTTTCTTTCCTTATTCCCCTTCCTTTCTTTTTTCCCTATGAACTGTCTTCTCCTTTCCTTTCTTCCCTCCTCCCTTCCTTCCCTCTTAGAATCATAAAGTTGGAAGGGACCTCGTGGGCCATCCAGTCCAACCCCCTGCCAAGAAGCAGGAAAATCATATTCAAAGCACCCCTGACAGGTGGCCTTCCTCCCTTCTTCTTTCCCTCCCTTTTATCTTTCCTTCCCTCCCTCTTATCTTTCCTTCCCTCCCTCTTCCCTCCCTTCCTTTTCTCTATGAATGGCAGAGGCATGAGTGGGGTGCAGAAGCAAATGGCAGCAGTGGGGCGGGGGTTGGGAAAAGAACCTTGGTGGGCTGGATTCAGCCCGCGGGCTGAAATTTGAGGACCCCTGGTTTAAGGCTATAACATAAAACATCTTATTTATATAAAACAGCCCACAGCCATTTCTGAATGCTCAAATGATAACTTTATCCACATAGGTATAATCCAGTACATAGAGAAATTAAGCAATATTTATTAAAATACAATCTTTAGTAAAAGCTTCCACGTTAGAAAGAAGGAAGAAGGTAAAGAACCAATGGGTGCACGTGAGCCTAACCAGCTTGCTCTCCACTGTTTTGGGCAAGTCCATCTTCATTTGAAAAATGACCAAATTGAGTAACAGTTTTGGCCTAAAGTATGTAACAAGGGAACTCACTGCAGCTTTCTACCCATCCCCTCTTATTAGGAGAGCTACTTAGGATCAAAGCAACTGCCCACAGAAGAAACCGACTGCAAAAGATATGGACTTTACAGGAAACCCAACTGCCCTAGGGTACATCTGAAGCAGAGGTTGCAGGAGGAAGGAAAAATTAAGGCTGGTGATTGCTGGCACCTAGAAGGGCGCTGCATTGGCTCTGCCAATACAGTCACTGCATAACGTTGATTCAAGTTTGCACTCAGCCAAGTGTGCACTTCGGCCAAGGGAGCAAGGAAGTGCAGCAAAGCTATCAAGTCCCATGCTGCATCAATATTCATATAATGGGTCAACAGAAACATCTTAAACACTGAGGTTCTCAGTTGCCCAAATTCCTTCCTTTAGTCCCAAGGTTAATGTCTGTTTATAAACTACAAGAGGCTTACAATTTAGTAGTTGCTGGCTGCTCAAGAGATTATTGGAACTGAGAGTGAAACACCACTAAACAAAATAAATAGGAATGGACAGAGTAAGTGAATGAAGAATTGCACTCAACAAGTCTCAGGTCTGGCCAGGCCATTTTTAGAAACCTAGGTTTAGTATATACTGCTTGTTACACAATAGTTGCAACTGGGAAAATAAGGTAACAGCCAAATGGCTGCTTTCTCCACAATCTTACTAATGTACAAAAGCACTGTGTGACATTTCATTTCACTTGGCTACAAGAACTGCTTCACTCCGGCCCCCTTGTCAAATACATGCTCTTTTAAAGCATCAATATGCAGATCAATCCACCACAGGAGCAGTAAGGAAAGGTAAGATGGGAAAGCGGCCGTAAACCAGCATCCCCTGCCTTCCAGGACAGAACGTGCCTCGAATATCAGGCACTAGAGAGAGAAAAGCACTGTAAGAACATTTTCTACACTTACACAAAACTAGCCAGCAAGGTCAAACTTTCCAGGGCAGGGGATGGGACAAAACACCCAGCCAAGAACATCACAAGACAACACCAAGATGTACAATGTTAGCAGCTAACATACTTATGCTCCATCTAGGACAAGCCACGCTCCACGAAACTGGTACAGCTCTGAGTGTAAAACAGCAGGTGGCATTTTTCGGCAACGACACAATGCTATCAGTGAATGGCAACTTGTTAATACTATGGCAGAGGTTCTGCCTAACAGCAGCCATAACACAAAGTTGCCAGTGAAGAGGGATTGTCAGACTGTGAAAGTGCTCTTCCACATATCCAGAAAAGAATAACAAAAGCACAAGCCACCTACAAAATAATCTGACCAGGCCATGGTTAAGCTCTCCTTCAATCAATGCAAAATATATAAGATTTCCCACAGATGGTGCCACATGCCTACTTAAATAAAACCAGGCTTAGGGGCAGAGCTGGTTGTGAAAATTAGCTCTCAAAAGCTACTCGTTTCCTGCAGAGATCTACCACCAAGATGGGAAATTTTCCAGCTTTGAATCAGAATTTTAACCATCCAAGAAATCCCTTTCCATGGAGCACTTCTATTCAATTATAAAGCAGAACAGTTCTTCCCACCTTGTGTGTCCACAAATAGTACCTGGAAAAGTCAGAAGGGGTTGGGAGTGTCTAGATTGCTTCTACCATCCTTCCGTGACTAAAATGGGGAAATACAGTACACAAGGAAATTCATGACTATCCTTTGATGACACACCAAGACTGGTCTCAATACCAGCTTGCAACCTTCAGATGGGCAAACCGTTTAGTCTCACATGAGAAAAATAGCGGCAAATGCAGTCTCAGTCCAGGTCTGTTTTCAGGTTTTAGAAAGAATCAAAAAAGCCCCATAAAGTCCAACAAAGTAGGAATCAGCCCAACTGGTAGAACAAGGGCCTCTTTGATAGCAGTGGGGAAAGTCAGTGTATTCTCACCACTATACAATGCAAGCACCTTGTCCAAGATGACTTCTTTCCAAGAGAAGGAAATTTTAAAAGATTGCTTTAAATTCATGAACCGCAATATCATATCCCAATCTATGCACCCAGTCTGGCTGAGGTGGTTAAAAATCTAGAAATATGGGCTGCCACTGTAGGTAGTGTTGGGACTCATCTTCTTACTGTCTTGTCCTCGGAGTCCTGAATGCAAATGAAAGCCTGATAGTCCAGAGTACGTTGTGGGTCACAGCCAACCAGGGTCACATGATCTTGCAGCAGGAGTTTTGCTTGCGGGCCTGAAAGATCAAGCACAGGAAGATATGTTCTTATTTATAAGCTTGCAGTTGAAACTGTAAGAGGTCTCCTTACTTAGAAGTTACTTTTGTGGCGTGGAAACCCCAGAAGAGAAGTACAATCATTCACTGCTCATGTAACTCTAAGCCATAGGCCACAAAGAAGAAACTCACAAGAGATTGAAAAACTGCCGGTGATACTCTACCACAGTGTTTCTCAACCTTCCGAACCCCTTAACACAGTTCCTCATGTTGTGCTGACCCTCAAACATAAAATTATTTCTATTGCTGCTTCATAACTGCAATTTTGCTACTGTTATGAATCATCATGTAAATATCCGATATGCAGGATGTATTTTCAATCACTGGACCATTTTTGGCACAAATATCCAATATGCCCAAATTTTAATACTGCTGGGGTTGGGGGGGGGGGGGGGGGAATCGATTTTGTCATTTGGGAGTTGTAATTGCTGGGATTTATAGTTCACCTACAATCAAAGACCATTCTGAACCCCACCAATGATAGAATTGGGCCAAACTTCCCGCACAGAACCCCTGTGATCAACAGAAAATACTGTTTTTCTTATAGTCTTTGGCGACCCCTCTGATAGTCTTTCTTATAGTCTTTGGTGACCCCTTGCGACCCTCTCAGGGGTCCCGATCCCCAGGTTGAGAAACACTGCTCTACCATCATGCAGACTATTAAAATCCCCTAAAATTATTAAATACTATAAGCGCTTGCCCCAACTACCACCTCCAACTGGTCACACAAAAGTCTCCCTGTGCTTACAAAATCCATAGATACTCTCCCTATGACTAGAACATACTTACAGTTTTATAGAAGGCTTTTGACTGAGTTCCAAGAACTTCTGATTTAGATACTAAGTCGTCCAGTTTCTCTCCTCGTTCTAACAAGGATTCCATTGTATTGTGCTGAGTGGAAAAGGACAAAGATGAATGAGGGAGACCGGGGGTTGTAATCCTTCTAAACCCAGCTGCACAGAACACTGCGGACAGGGAGAGCATGATCCATACGTCTATGATCACAGTCGCTTCTAGAGCCTCACTTACATGTTTCCCACATCCTACCCAATTTCTGAACTGTTATGATCAGGTCAAGAAGATGCTTTACCTATTCCGTGTTTTTACTAAAATAAACTAGTTTTGTACTTCAGTTCTTGAAGCATTTGCTCTTTGGTATCCTCTGCCAATTTTATCACTGGGCTCATCTTAAAGTTTATACCAGCCATGGGATGGTTGAAAACTCTGGATACATAATCTGTAGATATTGTTGGGTGTGTGGGCTTATTAACAAAAGACGCTCCCCATGAATGTATGACAGAGTAACTTATTAGCAGCGGCGTGACCCGGTACCAGTAGCCCAAAGTGATAAAAAGAACAAAAACACACCATATATCTTCCATATGAGGCTTTTCTTTGTAGTAAAATAATGTGGTTGCACTATTTACAAGAACAAGGTTCCCATAACACAAATAAAGTTCTTTATACTTCCTTCTTTGTTTCCACGCTTGGTTTCTTTCTCGCACAGATAAACAGCTTCACTCTCAAAGAGATTCCCCTCACACCAAACTTACACAGGAGCTTCACACAGTAGTTTTTCACACACAGCAGCCTTCACACACTATGGCCTTCAGCCTGAGGCTTCTCTAACATTGAGGCCTTCCCTTACTGAGGCCTACCTCACACTGAAGCTGTTAATTCCACTAAGGACTTCTCACACTGAGGGCTCTCTCAGACTGACGCTTATCTCACTGAGGTGAACTAACACTGAGGTATTCTAAGCTTATAATTAACTGCAGCTTTCAGTGCTTGTATCACATTTTTGTAATTGAAAATACCTAGTTAATTTTTAATATTTCCGACAGATATGAAGGACCAATTGTATATTTTTCTGGCCTCTGAAGTATGTACACAGTGCACACAGAGCAAGAAGAAGTTAAAACTAAGCAATCAGTGCTTCAAAAGATATTAAATCCTGGATCAAGACAGCAGTGTGCAGCCAAACGGGCCTCTGAATACTAGTGTTCCCAACCTGCTTGAGATGCACTCTGCTGTGGGGATCTAGAAAAAATGCAGCCTATACTTTTGCCATGCATACACTTTTTTGAAATGGCTATAACAAAGTTTTCCCAAGCCATCCCGCCTTTTCAATGCGTTTACAGCAGCTCACTTACTAGAATGACTTTGGTCTCATCCAGTTCTGCTTGCACTTTTGTCATTGCATCTGCCTCACGAGGGTTCTTAAAAAGTAATAGATTTTTTTATTTCAGCAGGCTGCACCCAAACAAAATTAGATTTTACTTCTACATTTTAGAAGTGTCAGAATTATGCCAAACGACACAAATCACATCTCAACCTTTAGACAATGGTAATATCCAATGAAAGTAGTTCTCCCATCTGCTCAAATATAACTGGTTATTTCTCACAGAGCTGCCATTTATGAAGTCCAGAAAGAATTTGATGAAGTGATGGATGTAGGAGTGAAATTACTATCACAGCAACACCTTCAATGATTGTGTGCCAAGCATGCAATCAATGAAAAAGGCTGGACAAATAATACTAAAATATACAGTGAAAAGTGTGAAGACAAACTCAATATCATGTATATTTTTACCACAGTGTACTATAAACTATTTAAACAACTTTTATTGACAACAGATTCTTTAGTGATTGAATGTATATTCTGCCTTTATATCAAAGAGCGGTTAGCCAGCTGAAAAGTACATAAAATACACTGGATCAAGATAATCAAGATATCAAATAATCAAATATTACACTCCCTTGGAGCTTCTTCACTTCAAACATCTATTTCAGTCCAACCATACCTGATATTTACTAAGGTAGCCGTCCAATGCTGTGTAGTTTATTGTTGTTGGGTTTCCAGAAGGCCAGTCTGTCCTACTGACTTGCCTGGAGAATTCATCCAGCACCTTGAATGCAAAGTAAAAAGAAGATGTCACCCGGCTTTTCATTCTTATGGACTTCAGGGTGAAAGCCAAGTATTTAATTCTATGAAGTCCACAGATAAAATATCACACCAGGAAAGGTATTTTCATTAATGAATGATCAAAGCTTGCTTTGAAACCTACTTCAAACAATGGTACGATGCAATCTATAAAAATAAAAATGTTCTGTTCATTTGTGGGATTAACATAACTTAAAAACCACTGGACGAATTGACACCAAATTTGGACACAAGACACCTATCAGGCCAATGAGTGACCATCAATCATAAAAACATTGAAAAACATAGCAGAAGGGACTTAAAAGCCAAAAAAAAATTCATTACAACGCATGTGGAAAACCATATATATACACAAACACACACACATATATATACACATATACAGAAATATATACACACACAGAAAAGGCCAAGCAAGGAAGGAAGGAAGGAGAGAAGGAGGGAGAGAAAGAGGGAAAGAAGGAAAAAAGGAAATTAAAAAGTAAAAGAAGGAAGGAAAGAGAGAGGAGAGGAAGGAAGGAGAGAAGGAATGAAAGAGAGAAAGAGGGAGGGAAGGAAGGAGACAAGGAAGGATGGAACCAAAGAGCAAAGGAAGCAAGGAAAGAAACAGTAGAGAAGGAAGAAAGAAGAAGGGAAAGAAAAAGAGGGAAGTAAGGAAAGAGGGAAAGAAGGAAGGAAGGAGAGAAAGAGGGAGGGAAGATTGGCCACAGCAACACATCGGGTACAGCTAGTGGCAAATAAATATATTTATAGCTACAATGCCATGCTCAGTAACAGGTGTACTCTGTGACAAGTTGTCCCATCACCTAAAATCAAAAATCTATCAAACTGTAGTAAGGCCTGCTGCAATATATGGAGCCTAATCTTGGCCAGAAACAAAGGAAGCAGAATGCCATCTTGGTGTTATAGTGATGGTTTTCCAGAGGTGTTTGCTATGGAGTAGAAACCAAATAGTTGGCTAGAATTGATGTGTCAGGGTGAAAAGCACACCAGCTCTAAAGAGGACTGGAATGCCGAACCATAGCTTCAATAGGTCAGGGGTGCAAGTTTTGGGCTGAAGAAGAGTGCTGGGGCAAGGGGAGGAATCTATCTTTTTGTTGCCAACCCTGTGCCATTTTCAAATGGCAAAATACAGGAAATCAACAATGTCACTAGTTAAAGCATAAGCACATATTGCCTTTCTTAACTGGAAGAGGGAATGATGGTAGCCAGCACTACTGCTGCTGCCATACAGCCTGTTAATTTCCCACAAAAACTGTCAGACATGCTGACCTCGACTCCATGCTTGTCAATGTCATTTTGGCTCAGCATTAGACTTGGATTCTGAAAACCAAACACGGTCATCCCAAGATGAGTCATGGTTTTATCCATAATTCTGACTGACTTTTAGCTTTTGAAGGCACACTAGAAATTCTACTGTATGTACTGCAGCGGCTCATCCACAGAGATAGGAATCATCCCAGTGCAAGCTTACCTTATCCAACAATGTAAAACAGACCCGGGGTGGATACTCATTGTCTGCTATCACTACTGCAGCCAACCCATCGTTCCTCACATAGACATGACAGAGGTATTCTGTAGCAATGAGAAGGCAGAAAAATATTACGTTTCGCCTTACACCAAATATTTGCAAAAAAGTCAGTAAAAGATAACAGGTCTGTCTAGAGCTCATCTCAGCATGCACATCCTTACCCCTTTACTAGGAAGGCTGGGGATGATGGGAGTTGCAGCCCAACAAGAAGATCAAGTCAGTTGACTGGTTAAGAGAGCCATGTGTTGCAGCCCAGCCATGTAGTTTTAAAGTGTTGTAAAGTTTAATATTTTAATATTAATATTAAATATATGTTTTAATATTAAATGTTTTATATAAGTAAACACTTGGCATGTTTGGTTCCAGGACACTTCATGAAAACCAAAATCCAGAGAGACTCAAGTCCCAATATACACAATGATTGCCCTTATATAATAATAATAATAATAATAATAATAATAATAATAATAATACTTTATTTATACCCTACTCCATCTCCCCCAGGGGGACTCGGTGCAGCTTACATGAGGCCACGCCCATCAGTACAATACACACAATATAACACAAAAGCATAACAAACCAGAAAATAAAATACATAAAATAGAAAACCAACATAAAATTGCAAGATCCAAGTTTGCTTTTTGAACTCTCAAAATAAATAAATAAATAAAATTCAAGACATGGGATGGTTGAAAACTCTGGATACAGAATATGTGGATCTGGAGAGCCAATTATGTACTTTTCTTGCCTCTTTAAATTATGTTATTTATTAAATTTACTGTTAAGCAGATCATATGATACATGGTGAGACATAAAGAAATAAAGTGATCTCTTTCTTTCTTTATGCTAGAAAACCAGCTGTCATGTTAAAGGTAGAAGTGTACTAAGAATCACCTCCAAGCTCTTTGTCAGGGAATGTTTGCAAATGTACATTTGTATTTAATTGTACTCTTACCTTGTTCCTTCACAGAAGCTCTACTACCAGGCTCTGAACGCTCTACTATCAGCTGACTTGTGAAGGTCATGAATTCCTGAACACTAGGGGATGGGAGGGAGTGGGAAGAGGACATTTCCAAGTTAGTTCCCAAAGTTTCCTGCACCCACCAAATAGAGATTGCTGAGCCACAAAGGCTAGAGAGAGGAAAGCTATTTTGCAAACAACAGAACTGCAATAAATTCACTGCAAAACAAATAAGGAGACTTATTTCTTCAGAGGCAGCCCTTTCTTCAGCTCTTCAGAAGCATGTAATATTTGTTCAAACTGACAACTAGGTGCAGTTTATACCACATAACTGTAGCCTACTGCATGTGATAGCAAACATGATCGAAGAAATAAATTAGCTGAGAAAAATTGATTTTGAGAGACCATAGTTTTCCTTTCATACTCTAAATTAGAAGCATACAATTCTCAGAACTTTGGATGGGACACTTTCCTCTCACAATCTCAGAAGGTCGCATATGCCCTTCCAACTGACTGCAGTCCACCATTAACACTCAGTTTTCTGCTCAACAGTCCTTTATCTCTTCTACCGAGAAGAACTGGCAATTGTAAACTGCTCTTCTCCCAACCTGATAAACCATTTTCCATTGTAGTTACTTTTAATTTGAAAAAATGCAAACTCTTCTGTATCTAAAACAGGAAGGTATTTTCTACCCTGCCTTACTCCCCATGTGGACTCAAAGTGGCTAACAACCACACAATCTTGTCACCGTTTAAAACAAAGGAAATAGGGGGGAAAAATTATATAGTACTGTGTGGATTTAAGTTAAAATACAGTTAAAATATAGTAAATACAATTAAAATTAATTTTTAAACTCACAATCCTCCCCCCCCCCCCCCCCCCCCCCCCCCCCCCCCCCGAGTCCCCCCTACAACCAGAGTGTCCCTCCTCCTTCCCCAAAGAAATGTCTTTACCTGCTTGCGGAAGGCAAGCAGGGCTGGGGCCCTGCTGGTCCCTCTTGGGAGTGAGATTTGTTATCTCCTGAAATTATGACTTGCATGAATATACTGAAATTTATGTTATCATTCAAAGAAACTACACAGAAATCAGCACAGGGATGCATACAAACAGGAGTGATTCAACTAAACAATTATGGCACAAAATATCCCTATGAAGCTCAACTGGGGCATGAAGTAAATATTCATAAGGCTGTAAATGCCACAGGCTATATTCTCTTCAATCCACCTAGAGGCCGTTCTATTTTAAAACATAATTTTGTGGCAAAATGGCTTTAGTATTTATGGGACAATTGTAAACTACCACAATTATCTGGAAACACCGTGTTTGACTGAATCGATGGCACGCCTTTAAGGGGCTTCACCTTAGAGAATAATCATCATCATCTTTATTTATACCCCGCCACCATCTCCCCAACGGGGACTCGGAGCGGCTTACATAGGGCCAAGCCCGAACAACAAACTACAATATAACAGTACAAATTGCAATAAAATAAACAACATAACATTAAAATGTAAAACATCAAAACATATAAAACAAAATATACAGAACATAGGAACCAAACAGAATGACAGAGAGGGGGCCGCATGTACATAAAATGATTTAAAAACTCCGGGTGAGATAAGGGGGCAGAACTAATTGTAAGGGAGAACTCATAGAGAGATAGGAAAATAAACAAACCTTCGTACATGGGGGGAGGGGGAACTCCTGGGACAAGAACATTGAGGGAGCACTAGCATACTGTTATGTGGCTACTCTCTGAAAGCGCAACAGCAGAGCCGAGTCTTAAAACTCTTTTTAAAGGTTTCTAATGTTGGGGCTTTCCTAATCTCTCCGGGTAATGAATTCCAGAGTCGGGGGGCCACAGAGAAGGCTCTCTCCCTTGTACCCACAAGGAAAGTCTGAGAGACTGGCAAGGGCAAAAGGAGGGCCTTGCCCGAAGATCGAAGGTTTCGGGCTGGTTTATGGAGAGAGATACGGTCACGAAGGTAGGTGGGTCCCAAACTGTTTAGGGCTTTATAGGTAAGAACCTGTACCTTGAATTGGGACCGGAAGATAAACAGAAGCCAATGGAGCTCCTTAAACAGGGGGGTTGACCGCTCCCTGTAAGAGGCCCGAGTTATTAATCTGGCTGCCGACCATTGGACAAGTTGTAATTTCTGGGCCATCTTCAATGGTAGCACCACGTAGAGAGCATTGCAATAGTCCAATCTAGAGGTAACTAAGGCATGGACCACCATGGTCAAGATACAGTGAAACATGGTATGTAAATTAGTAGGATATATGAGTACACCAATGGACATATACAAAGCTACTTAATATTCTGCTTGCAAATGTGATGGGGACACACAAACCATTTTGCAAATAAAGCACATCCGTTAAGACTGGGACAAGAATCTAAATATTTTGAGAATTCATATTGAAAAGGCACATTCTTTAAAGCAAGAACATAGCTGCTGACTCTATTAAACCTTTGCTAAGGCCACAATATAAACAGCTTGAAGGCTCTGAACAGACATAGGAATGCATCAGAGAAATGTGCTGAAATAGCCAGAATTAACAATAAGAACATACCTGGATCTCTGGAAAAAGCTAAATGATGACACATCATAAGCAGCTTTCAGTAAATGTACTTTTGGGTCTCCTTTGAAAAGGACACTTAAACTATAAAGCTTCATCCTTCTATTTACTTGAACTTCTTTAATTCTGGGCAAAGGAAGAAACAAAAACAAATACATGAAAATGAGTAAACTTAAAAATGTATAAAAATCAGAGATAAGAATCCTATGTACACTTGGAAGGGATCTTACCACTTTCAATGAAGCTTATCCAGACTTAAGAGTGAACAGCTTGACAAAATCTTCCTCAGCAATCAATGTTCAATGCTCTACAATTTAAAAGACAAACATAGTATAGTACAACACGCTTTTCCAAAGAAAGGTTCAAAAGTATGGATATAAAATGAAGTAGTCATCAAAAGGTGGTATCATAAACATCCTTCTCATTTTAAAGAACAACAATCCACCTCCACACTACTACAAATTAACTTGTTTTTCTGACTGGACAAGCTATAAAGACAACATCCATGAATAATAATAATAATAATAATAATAATAATAATAATAATAATATAATTTCAAATTATTATTATTATTATTATTATTAATAATAATAATAATAATAATAATTTGAAATTATATTATTATTATTATTATTATTATTATTATTTCAAATATTTGTACCACACCTTTCTCTACCCCCGAAGGGAGGCTTACAGCTGGCAAGAATTTGATACCTCCCATATACACACAGATAAAATAGCAATTACAAAATAGATAAAACATTAATATAAATTAAAAACCATTTAAAATACTGCAAATTCAATTCGATGGCCAAATCTAAAAGACTGCAGAAACTAAAAGTACATTTCAGAAATTTCAGAAGTTTTCAATAATTAAGCCTTCTAGAATATTACTTATTCAGCTACCATATTTCATCAATTCAAAGATGCAGCCCTTTTTGAGCCTCTCAGAAAGAGTGAAATATGGTATTTAGTTTTTATTCTACATAACCCTAAAGGTTATATAATCTTCAGCTCAACCACAACTTTTCAGGGGGGGGGGGTCTCCTGTGTAGTTTTAATGAGGCATTTTATTCTGAATTTATAAAAACAGAAAAGGTTAGGGTGAAAAAAATGAATATTTTTAGAAATTCCAACAAGAGTCCTAAACACACATATTTAGAATTAATCCCTAAAATACACTGTGTCTTGTTTTAGAAACTGTTTCCAATTGTATAACTTCTGCAAAGACATGGGATGCAAACAATCATCCCATCACAGAATAGAGCCTATTTCATCAAATTCATGCAACAGTATTCTTGATTGTGGATGGACTAAATGAAACAGTCAACACTGGAGCCAAAATGACACAAAATGTAACAAGTACAAACTATACATCAAACAAATGCAGCAACCACTATAGGTATGTCACGTATGTCTTTGAGAAACATCTACCTCTGCAAATCTAGATCTGCAGATCTACATTAAATTTCCTGCAGCTCTTCTTCGGTTTTTGACACTGCTTTCCCTAAACACATCTGTATTTGTGTCTTTGTACAGCAACTGCCCCACACTCTTCTTTGGAACCTTCTAACTTTAGAAAGTAGGGACCTATACAACATTTTCTATTTCTAAGTTTAAAGAGGCTTCGTGTGGGTGTGCGAGTAGTTAAGATTGGCAAGTGAAAATGAAAGTGTTAAGTGATTAAAAAACAAAAACCTCTCCCATGTCTGGACTTGGGCTACTCAATTATTAACTTTAAAGTCCGTCCTTCCACACAGCTATATAACCCAGAATATTAATGCAGAAAATCCCACAGTATCTCTTTTGAACTGGGTTATCTGAGTTCACACTGCCATATATCTCACTTCAAAGCAGAAAATGTGGGATTTTATTCAGCTGTGTGGAAGGGGCCTTAGTGTTCTCCAAAATATCTGTATCAATCACTTGCTTCTTCTAACCTTGCCTTCCTGCAATTCCGCTGACCACACTCATTGTGTAAGAAGTCTGGGCACATACATTCAGATACTGCTTTGTATCTAACAACACAACATATGACTCATAAATGCAAACAGAGATATGGACTCCAATCTGTACAGCCATTCAGTTTATTGTCCCACAATCCCACAAAGGCCTGCAACATGCATTACATCTCCACCACTGAGGGTTCCTGGGTGGCCCACATTAGAGGCCAGAAAGCTTGTCCTTCAGAGGGCTGTCAGGGGTCCTATAATGTTTCTTTTTAAATTATGGCTCCTGACCCCAAATGCCTCCCCCTCCACCAACTTTATGTGGAATCACAAAAAATCTGACAGCAGTTTCTGAACACCACCCATTTACATTAATCTGTTAGCAACAATATGCAGTATTTACAGTGGACTCTCCAGAAAATGCTTCAGGTGTACTTCATAAAAGAAGAAATCAACTTCTTTAGCCAGCCTTGCAAATGTTGATTCATTATCAGTAAGGGCCCTTCCAGACAGGTCCTATATTCCAAGATCTGATCCCAGGTTTTCTGCTTTAAATTGGATTATACGAGTCCACACTGCCAGAAAATCTGGGATAAACAGAAAACCTGGGATCAGATCCTGGGATAAAGGGCCTGTCTGGAAGGCCCCTTCTACACTGCCATAGAAAATCCATAATTGCCTGCTTTGGACTGGATTATATGGCAGTGTAGAAGGGGCCTAAATATTTGTGTTGTCAAAGGTTTTCATGGCCGGAATAACTGGGTTGCTGTGAATTTTCCGGGCTGTATAGCCATGTTCCATTAGCATTATCTCCTGATGTTTTGCCTGCATCTATGGCATTCATCCTCAGAGGTTGTGAGGTATGTTGGAAACAATGCAAGTGGGGTTTATATATCTGTGGAATGTTCAGGTTCAGAGGAAGAAGAAAAAAAGAGGTTGTTAGGTATGTTGGAAACAATGCAAGTAGGGTTTACATATCTGTGGAATGTTCCGGGTAGGAGAAAGAACTCTTGATCTGATTTTTAAGCCCATTGTATATATGGATATATCTGGGGTCATGTAAAAAAAACAAACAAAAGGGATCATGAGTGGAAAAAAAGTTTAAGAAGCCTTATCCTAAGTATTGTTAATATTACTATTACTATTATTTGGAGTCCCTGGTGGTCAGTGGGTTAAACCACTGTTGAACTTGCTGACTGAAAGGTCACAGGTTCAAATCCGGGGCGTTACGCTAGCTGTGTAATGTGGGTCAGAATTAATGAAGGGAAGACGTGTGCAAGACAACAGAGCGAGTGAGAGACACAGCTACGACAGGACAGCAGTGAAGTAATTTAATTCAGGTGGGAGAGGATAAGGGTGAAGTAATGTAAGACTTATTTAATATTAAATGATAAACAAAGGCTTACAAAGACAGTAAACAGGATAGAAATGTTCCTGCTCCCCCTTTCTGGTGAACAATGTTGCCATGACTCTGCGTCTCTCACTCGCTGCGCTGTCTCGCGTACATGTTCCCTACATTAATTCAGACCCGCATTGCGCAACCAGCGTAGGGTCCCAGCTATCATACTTTTGCCAAATCCGGGTAGCAGCGTGAGCTCCCGCTGTAAGGCCCAGCTTCTGCCAACCTAGCAGTTCGAAAACATGCAAAAGTGAGTAGATCAATAGGTTACCTTCTGGCAGGAAGGTAACGGCACTCCATGCAGTCATGCCAGCCACATGACCTTGGAGGTGTCTATGGACAACACCGGCTCTTCAGCTTAGAAATGGAGATGAGCACCACCCCCCAAAGTCGGACATGACTGGACTTAAAGTCAGGGGAAAACCTTTACCTATTATTTTATTTCTGCTCAAGGCAGGTTGCAACAATAAGGCTACAAAAAGTAACTAACATAGGAAAATGGAACGACTAGACCAGGGGTCCTCAAACTTTTTAAACAGAGGGCCAGGTCATAGTCCCCAAAATTGTTGGGAGGGCCGGATTATAATTTGAAAAAAACATGAATTCCTATGCACACTGCACATATCTTATTTGTAGTGCAAAAATGACTTTAAAACAATACACTAATTAAAATGAAGAACAATTTTAATAAAAATAAACTTATTAGCATTTCAGTAGGATGTGTGGACCTGCTTTTGGCTGATGAGATAGGATTGCTGTTGTTGTTGTGTGCTTTCAAGTAGTTTCAGACTTAGGTTGACCCTGAGCGAGGGCCGGGTAAATTACCTTGGAGGGCCGCATCCGGCCCCCGGGCCTTAGTTTGAGGACCCCTGCCCTGAACGGTTTGGGACCATCCTACCTGCGTGACCGCATCTCCGTTTATGAACCCACGCGTGTACTTCGTTAATCCGGAGAGGCCCTGCTCGTGATTCCGCCCGCGTCGCAAGCGCGTTTGGTGGGGACACGAGACAGGGCCTTTTCTGTGGTGGCCCCCCGACTCTGGAACACCCTCCCAAAAGATCTTAGACAGGCCCCTACATTGGCAGTCTTTAGAAAGAACTTGAAGATGTGGCTGTTCCAGAATAGGAAATCTCCAATACCAAGTCCCAAAAGCACTTTATTAGAATTGAGATTGCCGCACACTGCACACTGCACTTACCCTATAATCCTTACATACCACCTGTCACATCAGCACTTTTAATTCTGTACCCATTACTCTGGCCCGGCCCAGTTTTACTGTGTGTTGGTGTATTGTTTATTGCTTGTTGTTTATATTGCTTTAATTGTTTTTAATTTGCTTTAGGTTTTGTATTCTTATGTTGTGTTTTGAGGCCTTGGCCTTTGTAAGCCGCATCGAGTCCTTCGGGAGATGCTAGCGGGGTACAAATAAAGTTAATAATAATAATAATAATAATAATAATAATAATAACAACCCTAGGCCCTGTTCGGCCTTTCGACTGACACAGGCAGACAGATGTGGCATTCCAGGTGTTGGAAGCTTGTCTTGTTCATTTCACATTTGTATTGTACTATTGTAATTTGTGTTGTCGAAGGCTTTTATGGCCAGAATCACTGGGTTGTTGCGAGTTTTCCTTTATTAGCATTTGATGACCAAGCAGTTCCAAAGTCTGACTTCTTACTGCCTGGGGGAGCCGAGCTTACTATCATGTTTATCTGTCATGTGGACTAGGGATGGTGGGAATTACAGGTGGGGAAAGGTTAAAGGCCATTGTAAAAAAGGCATATGCAAACTTGGGGGCCTTCAGGTGTTTTGGATTGCAACTCCCACCATTCCTAACAGCCTCAGGCCCCTTCCTTTTCCCCCTCAGCCGCTTAAGCGGCTGAGGGGGAAAAGGAAAGGGCCTGAGGCTGTTAGGAATGGTGGGAGTTGCAGAGTTGGCGACTAGGCCACGCCAACGGAGGCCTTCCTCCCTTCCCTTCCCTCCCGCTTCCCTTCTTTCCCAGGCTCACCTCTCCGGAGCCCACCGCACCAAGCAGAGGCAGAAGGCGCCCCGAGCTGAGAAGCAAAGCGGAAGCCGGCAGGGCCTTTCCCCTGGATGGAGAGAGCCTCCTTCCGGAAGTACTGCCGACTCAACGTCTGGAGTAGTTGACTTAGCTTGAGGCGAGTGCGCCTGCGCGAGAGAGGGAGGTAGCTCCAAGGCGCGTCGTAGTGACGTCAGCAGGAAGTTACGTCATGCGGAAGTAGAAGACGAAAGATCGACAGAATCCTGTGGAGAGAAGTTGGGGAAGGATGAGAGGAGGCTGGCCTTCTTTAGGGAGTCGGTCTGCACCAGAGGCCGTTAGGAATTGTGGGAATTGAAGTCCAAAACACCAGGAGGGCCGAAGTTTGCCCAGGCCTGGTCTGTTGTTGTTGTTTATTCGTTCAGTCGCTTCCAAATCTTTGTGACCTCCTGGACTATCCCACCCCAGAGCTCCCTGTCGGCCGTCGCCACCCCCAGCTCCTTCAAGGTCGTTTTGAGGCTTTTAGAAGAATCTGGGCTCTTTTGAATGATGAGGTGTGGAAATCTGGAATGGCCTCCTTTTGTTGTTCATTCGTTCAGCCGTTTCCGACTCTTCGTGACCTCCTGGACTAACCCACCCCAGAACTCCCTATTGGCCGGCACCACCCCCAGCTCCTTCAAAGTCGTTTTGAGGCTTTTAGAATCTGGGCTCTTTTGAATGATGAGGTGTAGAAATCTGGAATGGCCTCCTTTTGTTGTTCGTTCGTTCAGTCGTTTCTGACTCTTTGTGACCTCATGGTCAGACTCCTCCGTTGCCCACGTTCGATGGTGCCGCCCTATCTCCATCAACCACTGTTAAGAGCTTAGGTGTCATCCTGGATTCGCAGCTAGATATCGAGCTGCTTTTTAGTGGGGTCTCCTCTCAGGGAGAAGCCCGAGGACCGCGCCTAAAGGGCTCTGGGTCCCTTGGTGAGGCCAGCGAGAGCCAATCCAAAGAGTAAAATATTACAAATAATAATGCCTCATCCAAGTGGAAGAAGGTTTTCAGCAATCGAGGTTTATTGTGATTCAGCTGTAATCAGATGCATTGCAGGGATCATTCCACCACAAGCATAATTTTACAGAATTTCCAAGCATTTTTATAGTACACAGACAAAGGAAAACAGTTTCAAAAATCCCGCCCGCCCTCTGCCGGCCGGCTTCGCTCTGATTGGCTGGCCGCGGAACAGCTGGGAGGAGGCTTGGCGGCACGCCCCGCCTCCTGACCAATCAGCGGGCTCCGCTGCCTCTAGGGGGCCAATCAGCGCCTTCCTAGCGCCTTGGAAGATGGACCAATCGGCAGCCAGGAGGCGGGACGAAGCCTGACAAAGACTGAGGAAATGACAGCCTTTGGGGCATCTGTGTGGCTTTGTTTTTTACACGGCGGGGTGTTAGATAGGAGAACAATGAGTTTCCTGGTCTGTGATGGGATTTGGGAGGAAGTATGAAAAGGAGCTTTTGATGGTATTTGGACCTCAGGGCCTTGTAAACAAGGGGGATCAACAAATACCTAAAAATGATACAATCAGTCTTTTCTTCCTGAGTTTCGGTTGACCCTTCTCCGCCCTTACTGTCTGCTCTGAAAGTTAGTTTGAGAAGGGGATCAACCGCACGGCCCATGCAAATGTAAATATGAACCATTTTGGGAGGACAAAGGGTTTCCTCCCTGTCACAGTAATCCTTAGGTCACATTCTTTTTGGGGCAAGGGACAAAGAGGAGAAGCGGGGAGGGGAACCAGAGTACATTTCTTATAATATTTCATTACATACATTTCATATACTTCATATATATATTTCATAAGGCAATCCCATCCCAAGCAAAGTTTATTACAATATTGGATCTTTATTATAACGCAAACTGGAGATCTCATAGTCCTTTGGCAAAGGTGCGTGGAAACGGAGGCTGCTTGCATTTCAAGGCAAGCACCAGAAGGAAGTTCGTGGCCAGGGATGTGGCAAACAGTTCAGTTCATGAAGCAGAGAGTCAATAAGAAAAGGCAGAAGTCCAGTGATGGGCGCTGGGTTGATCAATAACAGAATCCATCGCTCAGCCCTTGGGGAACTACAACTCCCACAAAAGGGCAGAAGTCCCAAGGTCCAGCCATTTCCCAAAAAACCTCATGGGGTCCTTGTTGTTGTCAGTGCCTTGGCAATGTGGCCAAGACTTAACCCTTGCTGTGTAGTCTGGTGTCCTTGCCCTTGGCAGAACTATAAATACTTGGGGGGGGGGGGGAGATGCTCGGCATCAAGCTGACAATGGAAGCTCAGGTCGCTGCTGCCAGCAAACAGGCCTTTTTCCATCTACGACAAGCGAGGCAACTGGCACCCTACCTATCTGACGAGGGTCTGGCAACTGTCATCCATGCCACGGTCACGTCTAGGCTGGACTATTGCAACGCCCTGTATGTTGGCCTTCCTATGTCTACGACCCGAAAGCTCCGTATTGTTCAGAATGCGGCAGCCAGGTTACTCACAAGAACGCCCATGAAATGCCATATAACACCAGTGCTGCAACATTTACATTGGCTTCCAACTGAGTACCGTGGCCTCTATAAGATGTTAGTTCTGACCTTTAAAACTCTTTACGGCCAGGGTCCATTGTACCTTAGCGACCGCCTCTCCTCCCATCATCGGAGGTCGCAACAACCAGCCTAATGTGACTTACTCTATATACCGGGTCCTAGAGAAGGACCAGACGCAGGGCTTTTTCTATTTCTGCCCCTGCCTTGTGGAATTCCTTGCCGCCCTACATGAGAGCCATGCATGACTTAGGGCCTGTTACTCTCACACTTAACACCTGGCTTTTTACTACAGCATTCGATCTCTGTTAATTTTTAATTTTTGTATGTATGTATTTTATCTTTTATAATTTAGCTGTAAATCGCCTAGAGCATTCTCAGATGGAGGGCGATTAATAAGTTATTAAATGATGATGATGATGATGGACCAGCCCATGCCAGAGCTCCCTGTTGGCCGTCACCACCCCCAGCTCCTTCAAGGTCAATCCAGTCACTTCAAGGATCCCATCCATCCATCTTGCCCTTGGTCAGCCCCTCTTCCTTTTTCCTTCCATTTTCCCAAGCATTATTGTCTTCTCTAACTCCTGTCTTCTCATGATGTGGCCAAAATACTTCATCTTTGCCTCTCATATCCTTCACTCCAATGAGCACTCGGGTTTTATTTCCTGAAGCATGGACTGGTTGGATCTTCTTGCAGTCCAAGGCACTCTCAGAATTGTCCTCCAACACCACAGTCCAGAACTGGACACAGTGTGATTCCAGGTGAGATCAACCAAGCCTACTAAACAAGTCCTCCTAATAATAATAATAATAATAATAGTGGTCGGGCATCCGGACAACGTGGTCAGTCCAGCGGAATTAATGACGGAGGGCCATCACTTCAATGCTGGTGATCTTTGCTTCTTCCAGCATGCTGATATTTGTCCGCTTGTCTTCCCAAGAGATTTGCAGGATTTTTTGGAGTCAGCACTGATGGAATCGTTCCAGGAATTGCATGTGACGTCTGTAGACAGTCCACGTCTCGCAGGCGTATAGCAGAGTTGGGAGGACAATAGCTTTGTAAACAAGCACCTTGGTATCCCTATGGATGTCCTTTGGGCTTGGCCTTACATTAGCTGCCCCGAGTCCCCTTTGGGGAGATGGTGGTGGGATATAAATAAAGTTTATTATTTATTATTAACTTTGACACTGCACATCCAAATGAAAGAAAGCATTAAGATATGCTCCCCATTCTGATTTTAAGTCATGAGAAAACTATTTTTGAGGTCCTCCAGATCAGTCGTACGCCTGACCGAGGTATTGGGTGGCAACCTGTGCTGGACGGGGTTGCACTCCCCCTGAAGGCGCAGGTCTGCAGCTTGGGAGTCCTCTTGGGCTCAGCGCTGACGCTTGATGCACAGGTGTCGGCAGTGGCCAGGAGGGCCTTTGCACAATTAAAACTCGTGCCCCTGCTGCAACCATACCTCGCGAAGCCTGATCTGACCACAGTAGTCCATGCCTTAGTTGCCTCTAGATTGGACTATTGCAATGCACTCTACGTGGGGCTTCCCTTGAAAACGACCCGGAAACTTCAATTGGTCCAACGCTTGGCAGCCAGACTTCTAACCGGAGCAAATTACAGGGAGCGGTCAACGCCCCTGTTTAAGGAGCTCCATTGGCTGCCATTCATTTTCCGGTCCCAATTCAAGGTGCAGGTTCTTACCTACAAAGCCCTGAATGGTTTGGGACCCGCCTACCTTTGCGACCGCACCTCCTACCACAAACCTGCATGAACTAGTCGATCCTCTGGAGAGGCCCTTCTCTCGCCACTTCCTCTATCACAGGCTCGACTTGTGGGAACGAGAGAGAGGGCCTGATGCTTTTGGAACTCGCTGCCTAGGGAGATCAGGCAGCTGCTTTTAAGAAAGATCTGAAAACTTGGCTCTTCTTATGTGCCTTTGGAGAGTGACCACTCAACTCATTTGGTTGTTTTAACTTACAGCTGCCCTTAGAATAAAGCACCTTCCTCTGTCCCCTAAAAATTCCAAATCTCATTGCTCTTCCTTGTCTGTCTCCTCTCTTATAAATGCACTTTTTATCTCACCAGGGTTTTAACCTTTTAACATTTTACCTCATACATTTGGCCCGCCCTTGTTAGATGTGTGTGATTTCTTCTGTACATAGTTATGTTTGTTATTTTTGTAGCTTGTAGAAAGTAACTAAATAAAATGTGCCACTTCAAGGCTTTGAAGTTGATTGAAGACTGCACACTGTTTTCATTGAGTGCCTCATGCAGTTGCTCTGAGGCCGAATTTTATTGACAATTTTTACACTGTAGATGCACCCTAGAAAAGAGGAAGACATCTAGAGTTGAAAGAAACACTGTGGCCCATCTAGTCCAACCCACTGCCATGCAGGAAAAGCACAATCAAAGCACCCCAACAGATGCCCATCCATCTTCTGCTTGAAAGCTTCCAAAGAAGGAGCTCAGACTCTGAGGCACAAAGTTCCACTATTGAACAACTCTTCCTACAGTCCGGCAGTTCTTCCTAATGTTCAGTTGGAATCTCCTCCTGTAATTTCAACCCATTGCTCTGAGTCCTAGTTTCCAGGGCAGCAGAAAACAAGCCTTCTCCCTCTTCCTTTTGACATCCTTTCACATATTTATACATGGCTGTCATGTCTCCTCTCAACCTCCTCTTCTGCAGGCTAAACATGCCCATACTCCTCAAAGGGATTCGTGGTCTCCAGCCCTTTGATCATTTTAGTTGCCCTCCTCTGGGCACCTTCCAGCTTAAAGTAAATCTTTCTCTCTCCCTCTCTCTCTCTCTATCTCTTTTTTTTTTTCCTGTGGGGCCCAGAATTGGACACAGTGATATTCCAGGTGTGATCTAACCAAAGCAGAATAGAGGCACCATTATGTTACTTGAGATAGACACTACTCATTTTGATGCAGCCCAAAATCCCATTGGCTTTTTAAGCTGCTGCATCACACTGGTGGTTCATGTTCAAGTTTGATGGGCTCTGAAAACTCTTTGAGGCAGCAGCAGAGTGAGAAGACAGAAAATGAGTAGTCTGTGCATTGCCTTGGCCAACATACCTTTTGGTGCTTCAAAGGCTAGACCTGATTCTGGCAATATTTCACCTGCTGGTTCAAAAAAAACAGGACCAGCTTTTCCCTCTCCGCTCTGGTTTTTGCCATTGAACATACTGCAGAAATGTCATGAGACTGGCAATGCTCTGCACAAACCGCCAATGCGGATGATTGAAGGGGTTGTGCAGGTACATGGACGGAAATGCGGTCCTGAAGGTAGGCGGGTCTCAAACCGTTCAGGGCTTTGTAGGACTGGAAAATGAACGGCAGCCAGTGGAGCTCCTTAAACTGGGGGGGGAGGGGGGGTAGACCGCTCCCTGTAATTCGCTCCAGTTAGAAGTCTGGCAGCCAAACACTGGACCAATTGAATTTTCCGGGCTGTCTTCAAGGGCAGCCCCACGTAGAGTGCACTGCAATAGTCCAATCTAGAGGTAACTAAGGCATGGACCACTGTGGCCAGATCAATTTTAGCAAGCCTGCAGTTGTGGGGTGAATAGCATGTTTTCTCTTCCTTCCAGATAACAGGTAACAAGAAATGCTAATTTCATGGTCCTGTTTCATGTGAAATACAGAACATCAAAAAGTAGTTCTTAATGCTGTGTAACACTAAACAGTTGTCTACGGTTGCCATCTGATTTATCACAGACCTCTAATGTCTAGAATTCAAGCTAAGAGTTGGAACTGGGGCTAATTTGCCACCATCCAAGGGTTGTAGAAAAGGACAATTTACTAATATTTCTCTTACAGTGAACTGAGAGAGATCTAGATAAAGTCAGGGTTTTCATTTGGTATTTCAGAGTTACATTACTTCCTCCTAGCTTTGATGTACTGAATGTTTGGGTCTTAAATGAACTCGCATGTACTGTATTTTCAAATGTTTGTATGGCCACTAGGGAATATCTTCTTCAATTTCATTTTTTACCTTCAATTTCATTTATTTTTCTCTCATCTTTTCACTCTTCTACTTTGACAGCTCAAAATGTCATCCCATCCTCTTCAACTAATCTAAGAGATGAAAATTGTCCCATAATTACTGGCCTGTATTTCCTGTGCTTTTATTTATGTTGTAATCACTTTGTGGCTGTCTAATTATAATGCCAAGGTAGGTGTGTTAATCTGTTTCACTAAAAACAAGTGCCTTGTGATGTCCTAAAGAGGCATACATCATTTCTTCACAAAAGTTTGTGGCACTAAAATCCTCTTTAAGATACTATGAGGCTTTTGCTATAGAACCATCAGTCTTTGGCAGAGAAGACTAAAGACGTCCTAAATAATAAATAATACTAATACCACCACCACCACCACCAATAATAATAATAACAACAACAACAATTTTTATTTATTACCCCACTCCTTTTTGCTTGAGGCAGAGCACAACATAGATATATTTATTAAAGCACATATTAAAACAGTTAAAGTATAACCATGAAAGCATATATTAAAATGCCCAAGACAAACATTTAAACACAATAAGCAATGAAGAGAAGCGGTGAAGTGATTCCATAGCACCGACCCACAGCAGTTCAAGTGGTCTCAAACTGCATTAATTGTACAGTATAGATGCAACTCTTGTCTACAATCACTGGGTATCATTCTAGAATTGAATCAGTCTAGACTAACTAAAGAGTATCTTATCACTCTTACACTATTCAGTCACTTGTGATGCAGGAATACTGAAGAATATCCATGACAACATTTGAAACAATTGAATGCTTCTGAAAGAGGTGAGAGGTCAGTATGATTGAGATCAAACCCCGTGGGATCAGGCAGCAATGTCAAAGACTAGGGGGTAATTCCAGGCTATTGTGCAATTGCCTTACCTTATGCATACATTTTACAGGACCTCTTGGCTTTTTGCACATTTTCTCCCACAATAGTGAAGTCCAGTAAGGAGAGAACTATGTTAAAACTGGACAGTGTCTCTATCTATCTATCTATCTATCTATCTATCTATCTATCTATCTATCTATCTCATCAGTGGCACCAGGAGGAGCCTTCCATGTGGAAGCATCCATAGAAATGTGTTTGTTACACAAACCTAAGCTTTATTTTTAAACAGTGCTAACACTTCCAAGTTGGCAAGTTCTTGGTGGTATGGGCATACCAAATCACATTGTCTCTCTCCTGAGGAATCTGCATAAGGACCAAGTAGCAACAGTAAGAAATGACCATGGAACAACAGACTGGTTCAAGATTGGGAAAGGTGTATGGTAGGGTTGTATACTCTCACCCAACCTATTCAGCTTGTATGCAGAACACATCATGCGATGTGCGGGGCTTGACAAATGCAAGGCTGGGGTAAAAATTGCTGGAAGAAACATTAACAACCTTAGATATGCAGATGATGGCCGAAAGCGAGGAGGAGCTGAGGAGCCTTCTAATCAAGGTAAAAGAAGAAAGCGCAAAAGCTGGGTTGCAGTTAAACATTAAAAAAACAAGATTATGGCAACAAGAATTATTGATAACTGGCAAATAGAGGGAGACAACGTGGAGGCAGTGACAGATTTTGTATTTCTAGGTGCAAAGATTACTGCAGATGCAGATTTCAGCCAGGAAATCAGAAGACGCTTACTTCTTGGGAGGGGAGCAGTGGCCAATCTTGATAAAATAGTGAAGAGTAGAGACATCACACTGGCAACGAAGATCCACATAGTTAAAGCAATGGTATTCCCCATAGTAACCTACAGATGTAAGAGCTGGACCATAAGGAAGGCTGCGCAAAGGAAGATAGATGCTTTTGAACTGTTTTGCTGGAGGAAAGTTCTGAGAGTGCCTTGGACTGCGAGAAGATCCAACCAGTCCATACTTCAGGAAATAAAGCCCGACTGCTCATTGGAGGGAAGGATATTAGAGGCAAAGATGAAATATTTTGGCCACATAATGAGAAGACAGGAAAGCTTAGAGAAGACAATTATGCCGGGGAAAATGGAAAGAAAAAGGAAGAGGGGCCGTCCAAGGGCAAGATGGATGGATGGCATCCTTGAAGTGACTGGCTTGACCCTGAAGGAGCTGGGGGTGGTGACGGCTGACAGGGAGCTCTAGCATGGGCTGGTCTATGAGGTCACAAAGAGTCAGAAGCCACTAAACAAATGAACAACAACAAATATATGCACACACACACACACACACACACACACACACACACATATATACCTAGTAACTATATGAATAAGCTTACTGGTAAATGATGTTTTTGAGTCTCGGTACCAATCTCAATAAAGAATTCAGAGATTTGCAGACAAACTAACACAGGCATTGGTCTCCCTTAATGCTGGTTAATAGCATCAGTATGGCAGCGGTAAGCATCTGTCAGTTTGCTCAGTCTCCCGGTCAAATGTGAGAGCAGAAGTGATGACGTGGGCATCTCCATCTTATCAGCAACAGCCACTCTACCCATCAACGTGCTCACATCTCTTTGGTTTCCACATGATGATTAAGGAAGCATCTGTCTCTTTTTTGGCCAACCAGGAGGCCATCTGTCAGGGGTACATGGATTGTGCTTTTCCGGCATGACATGGGGTTGGACTAGATGGCCCATGTGGTCTCTTTCAACACTATGAGTCTATGATTCTAACCTTTTGCCCCTTGGAGATGGGCTTCTGTAATCCCACATCACTATAGTAGCAGAGGACGTTGCTAAGACCTACAGTTAAGTGGTTGCTGTAGCAGCAACAAAGAGATCGTATAGTTGTTATGCCCATTTTGACTTGAGCCTTATTCCCATGGTAGCAGTATTCTGCATGACAGCTTTAATGGTCAGGAGGACAGGATGGGCCGGAATTAGGTGGTACGGCAACATGATTTCTCTGATTTCCGTGGCAATATGGGGTTCATTTTGAGACTCCAGGAAGCCACCTGTGCAGACAGCAAAAATGAGAGAGCGTCGCCAAGGAATAAAGTAAATAAAGTTAATGGCGAGTCCAGAGGTGTAGCTGAATCAAGAGGAAGTCGGTGGGTGGGAAAGAGACATGCGCAACGCTCCCATGCGCTGTTACCTGGGAGGAAGGAAGTACTTTTTGTACTGGGAAGGGCCTTGTTGCTTTGCCTTCCAACAAGATGTAGATCAACAAAATGAATCCTCACGGGATGGATGTGGCTTTTCAATATATCACTGAGAGAAGTAGAAAGTGACGAGAAAGCCTGATAGCGCATTTGGGAGAGGGAGAAATCCAGAGACCAAAGGTAAAGCGGAAGGAAATTCTGTCACGTGGCAACCAACTTCAAAAAGAAGAGGAAACAACCTTATACATGAAATAAACAACCCAAGAAAGTGGAATATCCTCCACAGTGACAGGAAGGACAGCCCATTCAGCTAAGGACAAGCAAGACGTCTTAGCAAGAAAAGGGGCTGAGGGAGCAGGGAGGCAAATTTGGCATTCTGCTTCTTTCAATTGTATCAGAGACTGATTTGAGAGCTACCTCTTGTTGTTGCTGTCAGCTGCTCCAATGCTGGATCACAGAGCTAGGATGGACAGCTCCAAGAAGGAGAAGGTAATGTTTCATGTTTGATTTTGGTTCTTAGCTCTGGCAGTTTTGTGAGTGGATGCAAACTTTGATAATGGAAAGCAACTTTTGCTTGCCTTAGATAGGGTTTCCGAGCCATGATCCATAAAGCATACACTCGAGTTTAATATTTGTGGTACTTACTTACTTAGGTGATCCCTCATTGTCCAAGTAGGATTGTCTTCCAAGATCGGTGTACTGGCGGTGATTCCGTAGGTGACTGTGGAGCCCTATTCTTGACTTGCATGTTCTCCCGCAGTGAGGGCATCGGTTTCCAGGTGGAAAGTGGTTGGTCCCGGTCAGGGTTGGCTTGACGCGCCTTCCTCTTGGCATGCTTCTTTTTTTCGCGCTCCGTTCGTGCCTCTTCAAATTCTACAGCACTGCTGGTCACAGCTGACCTCCAGTTGGAGTGTTCAAGGGCCAGGGCTTCCTAGTTCCAGTGTCTATGCCAAAGTTTTAAAGGTTGGCTTTGAGTCCATCTTTCAATCTCTTTTCCTGTCCTCCAACATTCCGTTTTCCATTCTTGAGTTTGGAGTAGAGCAACTGGTTTGGGAGACGGTGGTCAAGCATCCAGAAAACGTGGCCAGTCCAGCAGAGTTGATGACGGAGGACCATCGCTTCAGTGCTGATGGTCTTTGCTTCTTCCAGCATGCTGACATTTGTCTACTTGTCTTCCCAAGAGTTTGCAGGATTTTTCAGAGGCAGCACTGATGGAATCGTTCTAGGAGTTGCATGTGACATCTGTAAATAGTCCACATCTCGCAGGCATATAGCAGGGTTGTGAGGACAATAGCTTTATAAACAAGCACCACAATATTTGTGGTACAGCAGGAGAAAAGGCAGCTGTGACTTAGTGTCCGCTACGTCTTCGCTGTCCTCCGCAACACATTAGGATGCCTCATTTTGAACAGGGAAGGGAGCAGATTAATGGAACTGGATGAAATAAGAGGTGGGAAGTGCTGTAGTTACTTTCTATCTCAAAACTGCGTCTGGAAATGTAAAGGAACATGTGCTCTATGGAATACAGCATGTCAACCCTCCACTGAAACAAACCACCAGGAACTATGTTTTAAAGGTAACATCTCAAACTCGAACTTTCTTATCTCAATGTGTTGTTGAAAGCTTTCATGACCGGAATCACTGGGTTGCTGTGAGTTTTCTGAACTGTATGGCCATGTTCCGGAAGCATTCTCTTCTGATGTTTCACCCACATCTATGGCAGGCATCCTCAGAGGTTGTGAGGTCAGAGGTTGTGACCTCACAACTTCTGAGGATGCCTGCCATAGATGTAAGCCAAACGTCAGGAGATAATGCTTCTGGAACATGGCCATACAGCCCGCAAAACTCACAGCAACCTAGTTTCTTATCTCACTTTCCCATTTTTTTTGCTAGACTGCTAATGTTGCTGGAGTTGATCTGCTACACCAGTGCAGAGGGGAGATAATTGGTTTTTAGAATCTCCAAATATCAGCTGTAGAGGGTTGTATCACCTTGAAGATAAAATGTGACTTTAGTTATTTGTCATTTTAATAATCAGGTTTGCATGTGAGAAGCACTACATCTATTCCAATTGTACCGTGATCTATTAAAAGGGCACTTAAGTAAATCTTCTAAAAAGATTATAATGAAAACCGCATTGAGTCGCCTGTTAAGGGCTGAAAAATGCGGTATAGAAATAAAGCAAATAAATAAAAACTGCCTAACCCTGTCTATACCTAGCAATCACACTTATGCCTCAGAATATGATGCAGTCCTTACCTAGAGTTGATGGAATCTCCACATTCCAGACATAAACGTATTGAAAACTGTGTTGTTGAAGGCTTTCATGGCCGAAATCACTAGGTTGCTGTGAGTTTTCTGGGCTGTATGGCCAAGTTCCAAAAGCATTCCCTCCTGATGTTTCACCCACATCTATGTAAGGTCACAACCTCTGACCGCACAACCTCTGAGGATGCCTGCCATCAGGCCCGTAGCCAGGATTTTAATTCGGGGGGGGGGGGGGGGGGGTGCTGAGTCTGAGTGAAAGAGGGTCTACCCTAGCAAACCTTTTGTATCGTTACCCCAATACCCCCATGCATATGGGATATATTGAGTATGGTGATCAGATCATGATATGAATAAACATAACAGTTTAAATAATGTACCAGTAAGGCTTTTCACGGACCACCCTGAGAATTTGGGTGGGGGGGGGGGGGGGGGGGCTGAAGGCCCCAAAGCCCCCCACCCCCGGCCACATGCCTATCAATGGGCACATTCCCTCTGGGTGATCTGATTGTCACAGGTATAACCTCCTTGCAATGGGTTGAGTCTATGACTGTTGCCAGAAATTCTGAATTGGGTATAGCTATGCTTGAGTGTTGTGTTTTGACAACAGTTACAATTTAGTACTATAATATTTTGTGAACTGAATGATACTCCTAAAATAAGGCTTAAATTAAGTACAAACCATTCCTTATTAAATTGAAGTAGATCCCATGTGTCTTTTGAAAACGAAAGTTTAATATACACAGAAACTGGAGGTCAAGAATGAGTAGAGCAATTCAAGAGTACCGTAATCACAGTATAATTTGACTATGCTTCTTGATAGTACTTGTTGATTTTGTGTGTGTGTGTGTGTGTGTCAGGAGTGACTTGAGAAAGTGCAAGTTGCTTCTTGTGTGAGAAAATTGGCCGTCTGAAAGGACGTTGCCCAAGGGATGCCCAGATGTTTGATGTTTTACCATAGAATCATAGAATCATAGAATCAAAGAGTTGGAAGAGACCTCATGGGCCATCCAGACCAACCCCCTGCCAAGAAGCAGGAATATTGCATTCAAATCATCCCTGACAGATGGCCATCCAGCCTCTGTTTAAAAGCTTCCAAAGAAGGAGCCTCCACCACACTCCGGGGCAGAGAGTTCCACTGCTGAACGGCTCTCACAGTCGGGAAGTTCTTCCTCATGTTCAGGTGGAATCTCCTCTCTTGTAGTTTGAAGCCATTGTTCCGCGTCCTAGTCTCCAGGGAAGCAGAAAACAAGCTTGCTCCCTCCTCCCTCCTCCCTCCTCCCCATCCTTGTGGGAGGCTTCTCTCATGCCCCCGCATGGGAAGCTGGAGCTGACAGAAGGAGCTCACCCTGCTCTCCCCGGATTCGAACCGCAGTCCTGCCAGCACAATCCATTGCACCACCAGGGGCTCCCTTGTTGAACGAAATTGCAGAATTTCTGCTTACATCAAATACAAGCTAATAGATGCCTTTACTCCGTCACATTGTTTTGCATATAATAGGACTCCTTATTAATGTGACCCATGTTACTGTTTGAGGAGCTGCTCTCTTGTTTCAATCTGTTTTATAGAATCTACACTGTAGAATTAATGCTATTTGATACCACTTTAAATGCCATGGCTCAATGCTTTGGAATCATGGGAGTTATAGTTTTGAAAGGTCTTTAGTGTCATTGCCAAAGAGTGCTGGTGCCTCACCAAACTGCAGGTGCATCCAAAAATTGGGGCTTTGACACCCTCTGTTAGCCTCACAGCAGTCAAGAGATGAGGCGCACAGGTCATTTGGTCGCAGTCTTTCCCACCACGGTTGGAGGTTTAATGTTTCTATACTAACTAGAGTAATGTGTATTTATATTAGACACTAGCCGTTCCCGCCACACGTTGCTGTGGCCCAGTCTAATGATCAGGAAAATAAAGTAATGAGAAAGTTTTGGGTTGTTGTAGGTTTTTTCGGGCTATATGGCCATGTTCTAGAGGCATTTTCTGCTGACGTTTCACCTGCATCTATGGCAATCATCCTCAGAGGTAGTGAGGTTCACCCTGGTCATTCCACAGATATATAAACCCTTTTTCCTAGTTCCAACAGACCTCACTACCTCTGAGGATGCTTGCCATAGATGCAGGCGAAACGTAAGGAGAAAATGCCTCTAGAACATGGCCATATAACCTGAAAAAACCTACAACAACCCAGTGATTCCACCCATGAAAGCCTTTGAGAAAGTGTTGGTTTCTAATATATGTAATTTCTTTACATATTTCTTGCTGTTTCTTTGTCGGTGTTGATGTGGAGATTGTATGGTTTGCCAAATCATCCTTCTTTAGGGGTCCCTTTCAAATCTATGATACTATATCTGTGTGTGAATATTATTATTATTATTATTATTATTATTATTATTTACTTTATTTGTACCCCGCTATAGATATATATATCTATATCTATAGCTGGATGGCTCTTTGTCAGGAGGGCTTTGATGATGTTTTCTTGCCCTGGTGAAGGGAGTTGGACTGATGGCCTTAAGTATTTTCTATTGGTCATGGGGGTTCTGTGTGGGAATTTTGCCTCACATCTGTCATTGGTGGGGTTCAGCATGCTCTTTGATTGTAGGTGAACCAGTAACCACAAATCCCAGCTGTCAAGGTCTAGTTCCTCCAAACTCCATCTGTGTTTGTATTTGGGCATATGGAATATTCGTGCCAACTTAGGTCCAGATCCATCATTGTTTGAGTCCACAGTGGATTGTCTGGATGTAGGCGAACTACAATTCCCAAACTGAAGGTCAATGCCCACCAAACCCTTCTAGTGTTTTCTGTTGGTCAAGGGAATCCTGTATGCCACGTTTGGTTCAATTCCATCATTGGTGGAGTTCAGAATGCTCTTTGATTGTAGGTGAAATATAAATCCCAGCAACTACAACTCCCAAATGACAAAATCAGTTTTTTGGAGTGACGAGTGTATTGTGTCTAAATTTGGTGACAATTCATCTAGTGGTTTTTTAGTTATGTTAATCCCACAAACGAACATTACATTTTTATTTATATAGACTTGCCGTCCCTTGCCATGTGTTGCTGTGGCCCAGTCTGTGTATATGTGTTTTGTGTATGTATATATGTGTTTATGTGTGAGTATATATTTGTGTTTATATGTGTGTTTGCCTATATATATGTGTGGGTGTATATATGTGTGTGTATATATATGTATATATTTGTGTGTTTATATGTGTGCATG